CAGTCTAAATACTGACAAATGATCGGCTTGAAAGGAATTTGATTAAAAAAATGAATTAACCAACGCTTGCAATAAATAATTAATAGGGGAAAGTCCCCAAGCGGCGGGCACCTAAGGTTATTTATAAATAAATAAAAAATATTTACGAAATGTTTATTAAATATGATTTATGTTGGATAACAACGTTAGAATTCAAACCAAATTAACAAAACCGAAATCTTTGCTAAAAATAATTAATACTATCAATCAAACTTGGTATAAAAAAATATGATTTTTAAACAGTGGCATCTAGTACCGGACATTTCAAAATAACCTGCATTGATCACATATGCAGCCATCTCCACGTTCTGAAATGTCTGCATATGTGTCTTTGACGATATTCTTAGATATTGCAAAAAAAGTCACTTTGGCTAGGCCACACCGATCTCTCAGCTGGTGCATTCATAAGTTTTTCATTCTTTGACTAGGAAATACGAAAAAATGTGGGTATGTAGTGACCGTTAGCACTCATACAGAATAACATTAAATAATTGGAATAAATTACGTAAATTCTCACAAGAAATATCAATATGTTTTACTGTCCGTTGCTAAGGGACAGACATTTTCATTCATTTGATGGCACCTACTAAAATGGTTAAAAGATCTAATGATATTCTGCCATTTTACGGATAACAATCAAGTACAACTTTTATCTTTGCATACCACTGAAAGTAAATGCATAAATATGCTTAGAATTACTTCATTGATATTTAGGTGACGCCGTGATATTGCTCCTAAAACAGAAAAGGGTTGCTCTCGCCATGGCCGTGTGCGTCACAGGTGAGGCTTGGTGAGTGATCCTGTACCTGTGTGCCCTCAGTACCCCTTTACTTGTATTTTGGAATGAAAAGGTTTATAATCGCTTAATAATACGTGTTAATAGAGTGTCCGGTCTTTGGCGCCGTCCGGCGTTACGGGACTTCCCCCTTCTTTGATATTACTATCTAATTATATTACAAACGTGTGTCTAATAGTATCGACTTGTCTGTGATGCAGCAATGCCCACGATAGGCTACTTTCACTTGAAATTATATTTGAGACCTGTAACCTAAAGTGGAAATTTGGTATCATTACTGCTTGATATCGAGCGTGCCCGAGGTTGGAATAGAACCACGGATTAGTGGTACGCTACGGTGACTTTATGAATATGAACTTTCTTTCAAACACATGAAAATCTTCGAAAAAAATATTGTGTATAAAATATAAGCTTTAATATATGAATAGGCATTTTAATAAATAAGCATTTTATTTACATTAGTTTTTGGCTTCAATCTCTTTTTTTTTAAATTTCAATCCTACGGTGAACAATAAAGATTCAGAATTGCATCAGAAAATAAACGATTGAAAAAAAACGATGGAACATGACGGATTTCCGTATTAATTTTTTTTAAAATTTATTTTTAAACACCGATCAGAACTAAGTTTTCTATAATTTTACCCAGATTATTCTAAACTAAGTGGATTTTTCAGAAAACACAACTCAACGGTTGGCCTATCTCTATTAGGTGTATTTTATTATTAGAATTTCTCTAATTATAATGAGTTTTAATTTGATGCAGCTCTGCTGGGTAAGGGTTACTTTATTTCAAAACATATTGCAATCTATATTCATTCAAGTGATGAATTCTAAAAAAATACTACATTTTTCCAATTTAAGTAACGGCAAAAGATTATATTAAAATGATATTTGTACTACCAAGAAATTTTTGAAGATTTTAAAGAATATTAGTGAATGAATTAATTAAATTTGAGATAGATTTTCAATATATGTACTTCTATTCTTATAATCATCACTTCAATGTTTTCAAGATTAACATAATTTATTCTTGCGAACGCAAATGTAACCTTATTCTATTTCTTTGTCGGCATTTATTTGTTTGTAGTTTAGCTGCATTTTAGCTTCAACCTCGCATTATTTATATCAGTTAATTGAATATAAATTCATAATTAGAGATGTATTGTGTATTTGTCTTGCTTCAATATGGGGCCATGGACATGCTCACTATATTTATTCTCTAGATATGTAAGCGTTATGCTGGTAGTAATTAGTGAAAACAGTTCAAGAGGCTTTTCGTGAATATGACTCGTTCTTTGTTTAATTCCAGTAAGGTCGCCAAAGGCCATTCAGTTATTAAAGTTTATTGTTCGTCTTTATCGATATTCAGAAACAAATTGTTCGCGCTCGTTTGTATTGTCTTAAAAAACATGTGTCCCCCAATTTTTAATGGAGTGTTTTAAATTAGAAGTCCGTATCAACGCACCAAAGAAGTTCCGATTTTGTATAAACCCATAAAAAGCAATAAACTAATTAACTACATACAGATTTAAAACACCCTTGTCAAATAAACTCATTTTAATTTATATTAAACAATTCAATTAAAACTATTGATAAATAATGTGAATTTATTTATTATTAAAACTAAAAGCAAGACAAACAAATGGATCAAATGTGAAATGAAATTTAATTTTTATATAATTTGTTAATATAATGAAGTCAATACTTTAATTAATTCAAAAAGTTCCGATTTTGTTTAAACCCATAAAAAGCAATAAACTAATTAACTACATACAGATTTAAAACGCATTTGTTAAATAAACTCATTGCAATTCATGTTAAACAATTCAATTAAAACTATTGATAAATAATGTGAATTTATTAAACTAATAATTTGTTAAAAAGGCAAGACAAACAAAGAAATTTAGTTAATTAATTTTTATATAATTTGTTATTTAGTCAATAATCCGATTAATTCAAATAATTATTCATTCAAATTAAATAATAATAATTTAAGCCATAATTGATAATTTAGATTTATATGAAAAAACTATCAGAAATATAATATAATCAATTTATATTTTATATATTATATAATTAACTATTGAAAACGTCTTAAAAATAAAAATCAATATAAGTTTATATAAAAATATATTTCTTCGTTCTTCAGATTATATAAATTTCACATACATTAATATTCGATCTCATAATTTATCATATTCAATTAATTTAGTAATTTAAATAAATTATTCATCGCTCATCATCATAAGAATTCCTCGTTCAGCTGATGTTTAGCATATTTAAAATTATATGTTATTCATTTATGAGCAAAGTCAAATTTCATCGTCAGATCATTTGTTTGCCCGTATCGCAAATCGCATCGTAAGCCAATATATGGACCAATTACAGATATAAATGTAAGTAGTAGATTATAACTGAAAGTTATAACAATTAAAAAACAATTTTCAAAAGGTAAATTAGTAATGTTAAGTAATCAAATGACTGTTTCGAACACAAAGAAAAAATGTTACAAACTTTAGAATACTTTTAGTGGCATTTAGAAAATGTAAGTTATTTAATAGTCCAGTCATTTATGCTTAAATTAAGTAAGAATCTCGGAATTAGAGATACCCAGCTATAAGTCTGTAAATACTTGTATATTGACACCCTAAACTTGTCTCAAAACCTGAATATGGTAGGGTCTCAATGCCATGAGACAATTTTAGGGTGTCAATATACAAGTATTTACAGACTTACAGCATGGTATCTCAAATTCCGAGGTAAACTTACTATAATGACTGGACTATAAGTACAATAGACTGCATCTTCTCAACAACACTGAACTTGCATCTTCTGCATCTTCTCAACAAAAAAATTGATAATTTAAATAGTTTAATATATTTACTACTTGAGATAATATTTTTTTAATTTAGTAGCATGCAATGTTGTTGTTTGTTCATTTAATATTCTGATATTTAATGTAGTCTACAAAGTAGAGACAAATAAAACAGGTTAATATTGGCAATAAATTATAAAACATAATGTTCAAATCTCGAAGTATATTTTGAAGTGATTATTAATGAAGTTCAACTGATCACTTTGAAAAGTAAAGTTAGTAAGTACCTTTTCTGAAACTTTCCTAACAATTCCTGTGTCCTACAAGGATGTAATGTCAAAAATGGTATTTGTAATACTGGATGATCCATTTGTGTGAGAATTGAATGGAAACTACTGTCCGTTACACCATTTTGTAACAATATTTTCCATGCACTGTCCAGTGTGAGAATAGTACCATCTACAAATGATAGAATATTAAAAAATAGTGCATAAGAAAATAAAAAATACTGATAAATCGAATTTGACAGCATCTCTATAAAGTTAGCTTAATTTATTACTTTCTTAACAAAAATCTTTTACACAATAAGCTAATTATCACATTATGCATGTATATATTTTTTAATATAGAATTTTGTGTTATAAATGGATCGAATATTAAATATTAAATATGAACAATACAACACTCAGATTTTTGTATATCAAAAATTAAATGTAATTTAAATAAAATATTAAAGAATGTGTAGTATACAAGTAACTGTTCTTGAAATTACACTGAAGATGAGGCATACCATGGTCTCGAAACGTCTGTAATTATTAAATAAAGTGTGTGTTAAAAATCTGAATGTTGTATTGTTCATATTTAACATTTAATATTTTTTAATGTAATCTTAGTACAATTACCAGGTTTTGAAGCATTAAAGGATAAAACAGGAACCATATAGCTGATGTTATACGTGACATGATATTCAAAATTATAAACAATAACACTATTAAATGTTGCTTCAGACTTATCGTTAAAATCATTTGAATCGCATTCTTCCAAATGTGAGTTTTCATTTTCACAAACATGTTTTTCTTGTTTCATCAAGTATTGTGAATAATTTTCATCCTTGTAAGAAACAAGTATTGTTACAATGTCACATCAAAAAATATTGTCATATTTTAATTACTTTTCCTACTAACTGCCAATTATCACCTAGCTCATTAGACTTTACTAATATATCTTTAGCAAAAAGTAAAAATTCCTCCCAAGTCATAATATCCTAGCAAAATAATATCAGATAAAATTTAATAAAATATCAAATTCAAATTATAATAAATTACTATCAAATGTTGTAAACTGACATATGTGTTTACTAAAACCACACTACTTTTTAAGGTTATGTTAAAACAAAATATTGATCACAACATAATATTCGATTCAAATTTCTTATATTTTTTTGTTTTCTTAAACCAATTAAATGAAAACTTAAAATAAAAAATATATTCAAAATAATATTGCACAGTTATTTGTAAATATCACTAGATTAATCAACTACCACTAAATATTAACAAATTTTATTTCACTTTTAACAGGAATTATCTGCCATAGTTTTGGAGCTGTCAAACTAAGGTCAGGGTCGCACTTTAAACAAATTTAAAAATATTATAAATAAATATAAAATTACTTAAAAAAATCCTAAAAACACCTTACTAAAATAATTGCACTTGCTCGGATATTATTACTAATATATTTCTATTTCAAGAATTTAATCATAGTGTGATTAAATAATAACAGTAAAATATTTATTTTGGTATTGTTCAATTAAAAAAATTAAATTAAAATTAATCAGCATAATTTCCAACTAATATTCTTCGATATTTTTGAATGTTTAACTTCCCGAAGGGTAAGTTATTGTAATCGTCCAAAAATTCGCTGAGGGGTTGTTTTTACAATAACATAACGAAAAAGTCACAAACAAACGTTTCGACAATACGGCCCTGAACGAAACTAACGCATGGTTCCTTAATAATAGGTTGTCAAATATCTCCCTTCCGCCTTTTTGTATTATAAACCAAGAGCAAAAAAGCGGAAGGGAGATATTTGACAACCTAATATTAAAATTTCTTGAAAAATGACAGGATCCCATCGCTTCTTAAATTTCCCGTAAAATTTGAACACATGCTAAAAACTGCTTTAAGAAAAAATGTGACATTTCTATCTCAAACTCCGAACAGTAAATACATAGTTTCGACAACTTGTTAAGTTATCATGTTTATCACTGTGTTTTACCATTTGTGATGTTAAAAAATATATATTTTATCAATACCATGAATTAATAATGGTTTCATATGTTATGTTAGGATACAAAATTGTAAGTGTTTTATTATTGTTATTATTATACCACAGAATGAAGGCTAAGATGCTAGACGTCTGGCTTTAAAATAAACTTTTAAAAAACTCTCATACTATTTTTACTGATGTAACGTCCGACTTTTTAACTCAAATTAAACATATATATCAACATCAAATTCAAGACTATTCAAATATATATATATATATATATATATATATATATATATATATATTAACAAGTCTAATAATCGGGCATAACATCAATAAAAAACATGAATTTCTTTCAAAAATTTATTTTAAATCCATACGTTTGGGCTATAATCCTAGCCTTCATTCAGTGGAAACTAAAAATAAAATTAAAAACTAAAACAATTGAATTGGAGTGAAAAGAAAAAAATAAAATAGTAATTAGTACTTACAATTAGTTGATCTTAGTGTTAAATTGGAAAATTTTAATAATCCATGGTATTAGGATATGGTAATGCAGTACACTATGTATTATAAACATTAACTTGAAATTACACAATATTTTCACAAAATACTGATTTGAAAAAATCACAAATGGATAGTGTGTTACTCGTAGACTGGTTGAAGATGTAATGGAGAAAGACATTTTTAAAAAAATATTTTTACCCAGATTCTGCACATGTGTGGAACGAATTGTAAAACCTTTGCGCGAACGCTTTTATTGTTTTGTAAGAAAATTGGAAATGTTATCTAAATAGAAGAGATTTGTGTCGCACAGCGTGTTGAGTTCATTCCGTTTATTTATTGTCTTATTGGTATAAATAGTTAAAAAAGATCCCTCTATAATTCTTCTTTTAAATAAATTTTGTTCAAATTGTAGTATAGTCGGATTAGAAAAGTCCATATTGTGTTTTAAAGTGTATATATGGTCTGCAAGAACAGTTTTGAATTGTTTGGGGTTTTTTGAATTGTTTTTATGTTGTTGTAACCGTTTATTGAGGCTAGTTTATTTCTGCCATGACTTCTGTACTTCGCGCGTACCGAGGCATGTGTACATTACATAATTCTACTTACATTTTTGTTCAAATAAAACTATCATTTTTCTGTTTACATCATACAAAAAATTATAAAAAATGCATGGTGTTGACAAGTTAGTTGTATAAATGTTAGTGCCAATCTCTAGTGTTGTGTACACTTCTCTAGATGTAACCTACCAACGTAATATCCACTGATGATGACATTAAATTGAATGTCGAAACGTTTGGAATTGAAGATTATTTTATAAATCTTTGCCTTTTCTTTGTTTGATGTATCGCCCTCAAGAACTCACTCATATATATATATATATATATATATATATATATATAAATTATAAATAACCAATCAGGCATGCAGGCGTGATAGCGCTGTGTATGAATGAATGCTTTCAAATGAATACATGGATCTGTCAATCTAAGAATTTATGTCCTGTTCAATTCATATTGTTCAAAAGCTATGCACTTGAGAGCGATTCTTGAAGAAATCTTTACAAACAAATATGAAACATCACAACACATAAATATTTTATTTTTGGCTTACTAGCGCTAAATGTGCGCCTGGTTCTCGACCCCTAACCTGCACAGTGTGAACACGGGCTTTGTTTTCAGACAACAGGCCCTGAAAGATCATGTTATTCATCGTGATATACACTACAATACAAAATTATATTTTATTTTGATATAAATAAAACAGAGCATATAAAAGAAAGTCAATTTATTAAATTTTGACATAACAGTTAAGTTATTAAGTAAAAGCTCACAAAATTGCAATAAATTAACATAAATCGAATTAAATCATGTAATGATAATATCTGTTATAGTATTATATAAAATATAACTTTACAATAAATTATAACTTTCATTATATATAATAAGTGTTGCTTATATAAATATCTATATATTATGAATAATGCGGGTGTGTATATTAACATAAGTAGGCACTAAATATTTTATATTATTAACAAATCTGTACAAGTCACCATTAGAAGGCACATTATATAAGCTTGACTAAATTTATTATTAGAAAACTATAAAATAGCTTGTAAAATAGTATGTATATATATAATTTGTGACTGTACATGCTTATTTATGAAACAATATATATTTTGTAATTATATTCTTTACTCGAGTTTATAAGTATGACTGTGCGTTCGACTCTCTGCAGAAGTTTTTATAGTTTTCTTCTCAGTGATCTGTCTGGACAATGAGTTCATTTGAGTTTGTACTAAATTTTGAGAATTTGCTCCGGAGTGCATAATAACGGGACTTGAATCAGTGTTATATCTGTGTGTTTCATACCTGAAATTTATTAAATAAATTTAAAAGTTTGGTCAGAGCAAGAAATAAGAGTTGATATTTTATCATAATAATAATAATTGATATTAATAAAATTGAGATAAATCATATAAATATTAATATAATACACTAGAAAGAGAAATAATATCCAAATGATTTATAAAAAAATCATTTGGCAAAGTTACAAGTTTGAGCAAGAAATAAGAGTTGATATTTTATCATAATAATAATAATTGATATTAATAAAATTGAGATAAATCATATAAATATTAATATAATACACTAGAAAGAGAAATAATATCCAAATGATTTATAAAAAAATCATTTGGCAAAGTTACAAGTTTGAGCAAGAAATAAGAGTTGATATTTTATCATAATAATAATAATTTATATTAATAAAATTGAGATAAATCATATAAATATTAATATAATACACTAGAAAGAGAAATAATATCCAAATGATTTATAAAAAAATCATTTGGCAAAGTTACAAGTTTGAGCAAGAAATAAGAGTTGATATTTTATCATAATAATAATAATTGATATTAATAAAATTGAGATAAATCATATAAATATTAATATAATACACTAGTAAGAGAAATAATATTCAAATGCTTTATAAAAAAATCATTTGGCAAAAAATCACAAATTATGAATCATTATATTAACAAATAAGTATTTTTAATTATTTAAGTATTTTCATTATATGTTAGTTTGTTTTTTACTCACAAAGTTGTAAATCCCTTATAATTTTGACCATTGCTCCCTGTATTATGTGCTGAGCCATTTTTAACTGCATCATAGCTACTGTCCGATGCAGATAAATTTTTATTAATAAAGCTGACAGGACTTACATTGTTGTATGTATTGAAAGTTCTACTATTTGTGTGGGTTTGAGATTTATCCAAATACGAGGAGTTCAATCCTTTATTACTTTGGTTATTATTATTTAAATGCACAATATGGCTACTTTGATTCATGGTATCATTTTGGTCACTGTAATATTCTTGATCGCCTTCATCTGTTTTGCGGAGACGATATTTGGCTTGGTGAATGGCTGCTAACCTATTTCTAGCCTCTTCCAATTGCTTTTCAATTCGGAATACTTCAGATCTAGAATAAAATTTTACAAATAACTATATTGTTGTTAAGTAAAGTTATTCAATCCACAAATAAAAATGTTTAAGAGTAGATTAACCCTAAAATTTCAGGATTATTAGTCAATGTGACTTGACCTATTTAACTGACTTTCAATAATAGCCCTTTATACTAACTATATTTAAAGGTATAAGTGGAACAATTTCAAGACTAAATTATATCACCCATTTTTTTTTTAATCACCTGGCATTTATTTCCTGTGTAATGCCACCAACCATTCTTGTGTTAAGAACAAGTGAATGCTCATCTTCTCCAGAAATAGCTTGTTGAGCTGATTTCACAAGATTATCCGTGCTTCTAATGACTGCATTTCCAGCTGCTTGTAGTCTTGTAAAACTGGGTGAATCAGGATCGGCTTTGACCTAAAATAAAATTTATTTTTATTAATATTATCTATCAAATAATTATAATATATTGAGATTTCATGAAATGTTAAGATTATAAATTTCAACTATCTATTACTAATTAAAAGCTGTACCTGACTAGCAACTAAAAGTTGGGCAGTGGAACTAGCAACTTGTTTTGCAGATGAAATAAGCATTTCTTCAGAACCATGTCCTTGCACAAGAGCTTGTGCTGAATCTACTAATTTTTGTGTTGCTGCCACCACAAGTCTCGCAGCAGAAACCAAACCTTCTGACCATTGGCCATCGTCTGAAGTTTTATGTAGACGTCTGGCAACTTTGCCCTAAGGTATAAAAAAAAAACTTGTAAAATACTATTATAACTAATGCAGTAGAATTTTTAATAATATAGTTACTATATTGACAAATGTGCAAATCAAAAAGGCAATTTATGTGAAAAATTGAAAGAAAAATGTTCTGTTAGTGTTCCTATTTAGAAGTGAAGTTAAAAGTTTTCATATCTATTTAAAAAAAGTAGATATTTCATAAATTAATGCAACAAGAAAAAAGTACATTATAATTATAAAAAAATTTTAATAAAATAAATGAAATTCTACTTTAGAAATGCTTGGCAGGCCGCATAAAGCGGTTGCTCATCTGTTGAAAAAGTTTATTGTATAACAATATTAAATCAACTAATCAAATTTAAGATTTATATATTACCTGATCAATAAGTTCTCGTTGTGAATCACTTGCGGCTTTAACCAAAGCTGAAGTAGCTGCAGTAATGGATTTTGCTGCTTCCAAAATCATTTCATCAAAGTTCAAATTTTCATCGGTTTCCTAAAAATTATATCACAAAATAAATATCAACCAAGAAAATACCAATTGTACATTAATATGAGTAATTGATTAAAACTATATCAATTCCATATGATATAACGTACCATGGTGTGGGGTACCTCAGCAGTAATAATATGTTTGATTCCTGGGTGAAATTACAAAAATACAACCAAGAATATCAAACATATCTTAACGCCAAAGACATGAGATAACATGTATGACAAGTAAAATCTATATATTAAATAATATCTAAAAACATATCCATATTAATTACCTTTACAGATCTTCTTGGTCGCAAACTGGCAAGTTTTCGTGCAGCAGCTTCTATAGATGATGCAGCTGTTAGAAGCTCATTTTCTGCAATAACTGTTGGATCCTCAGGATCTACCCAATCACGTCCTGAAAAAAGATTATATTTAAAATCAAGGGATGTAATAGATATGTATGTAGATTTAGATAAACAGGTAAATACAATATTAATAAATAAAAAATCAATAAAAGTACCTTTAAGGGTTTCGGCCAGAGAAACCAGTTCAGAAACACTTTGAGCTACTTGTCTTGATAAATGTGGCAAATTTTCTTTTCCTTCAGCTCCTGCCAAAACTGCTTGAAGCAGTCTTTGATAATGGGTTGCAACCTTATTACCAGCTTCCAAAGTTTGTTCGCGCAATTCGATTGTTTCCGTGCAGGAGTATGCAGTATTCTAAATTTAAAAAAAACAATACATATAACACACTTTGTATATATATATATATATATATATATATATATGTATATATATTAATTAAAATAATTAGTTAGGAACTTTTTCAAAAGTTATTATCAACATCGTATGAACTGCTGACTATGTACTTGCTATAAAGCAGAAGAGCTTTTTAATTTTATAATCATATTTCATTTTTATTTAACTAACTTTTGTTTTCAATTTAATTATATCCTGTAGCAATTGAATTAAGTAACAATTAAATATGGTCAATATACCTTGCACACAACAAGTAAATCAGAAATTGCTCTACGCCCTTGATTAGCAGCAATTATAATATCTTCTTGAGATCCAGAGTTTCCAGCAGCAATTGCTTTAGATGTAGCTTGGGTAACTAATTTAGTAGCTCTAACTAGTTCCTCTGGTGTTCCTTTGCCCTTTGCACCATCTATTTGTAAACTCTGCAAGATAAAATTAAAAAATTTAAATATGGCTAATATGTGTCTAATGTAATACATTTTATATCTTATTACAAGGATACTTACATTAATTTCTTGACTGATAGCTTCAATTGTAGATTCTAAAGCACGTGTGCCTCTTGTGTGTTTATCCTCAACAGCTTTAACGGTTTTTAACAATGATGTTACATTTGTTACCATTACCTATAAAATAATAATCTTTATTAATACACAATTCAAAACATTTTAATATAAAATATACATTTTCTATATAGAGTTTACAACAGTTACAAAAATAAATTACCCTAGCACTGCCTTTCAATTGTCCCATTGAAGGGTCATCAATAGGTTTTCCAGATGCTGCTTTGGTGGCCTGAATAAGTTCACCGAGAGCAGAAGCAACATCTTTAACAGCGTTCATCAGCATCACTTGTGAATCAGGATTATTTGAACCCAAACTTTCTGCTCCTAATTTCACAACTCCAGTCAATTGGACTAAAAATAAAATAAATATCATTATAAACAAATTTCACTCTCAGTGCTTAAAAGAAAGAAAGAAAATTAAAATAAATAATAAAATTAAGATAATGTTGTATTACATGTGAGAATTAAATAGCATTAAAATTTTCAAATTCTTGTTTAAGATGAAGAACTTCCTAAAAAAGATCTTATGTCTTCGAAAAGATTTAATGAAAGAATATTTCTGATGATTCATATATGTAAATGTATGTGTATGGGTTTCTTGACCCTTACCAATTGTTGAAACAGCATTTTGGGCTGCTGCTGCCAATTGATCTTGAGAACCTGCAGCACACCGGCAACAAGTGTTTTTGTGTCTTCTTCTACTAAGCTTTGGCTGTTTTCAGAATATGCTCCCTGTGCTCAGAGAAGATTCATTATCCCTCTCAGAGTGCAAAGTGCCTGATGAATAAATATTTATTTATTATAATCTGTACATTATAAATATTTAACTAACTTCAATACTTTAATATAAAATAAAATAAATATTTACCTGCTGTTGCAAACATAATTGTAGTGTCAATATCTCCAATGATACCAGAAACAGTACTAGCAGCATTTATGCAAGCCTGAGTTCCCTTTGAACATGATTGTAGTGCTGCCAAAACTTTAGCTACTTTATCGTTAACAGATCTGCTGTGCATTGAAATTGTAGAAGAAGCACTATCACCTTGTTGCATTTGGTATGCCCCACTAGATTCAACTAATTGAGAACATGATCGTCCAAGTTCTTGAACTGTGCTTCTGATTCTAAAATTTGAAAAAAAATGTAAGTAAAGACCAAGCAAACAGTTTTATTTCAAATACACAATCTCAATAACTTCTAACTATTTTTTTTGTTGAGAATTATTTGCAAATTTCGTATTTTTTGTTTCAAAATATTTTTTGAAAATTTAAACAATTCTTCATTCCATCAAAACAAGTGAAATGTTTTTTGATTCATTCGAATCGGATCCTCTGTTCTCTCAAAAATGGAATAGCTATTTTTTGCACTTTTTGTCCCGGATAAAAAAAATCAGAACATCTCCAAGTCAATAGGAATTGAATGTTTTTTAAATCACGTGAAATGTAAAGGTATGCAAAAATGTTCATTTTCGTTTTTTGCCATTGCTATAACTTACTCTATGGCAAGTTAATAAAATTTTCAAAAAACTTGAATAAACCATTTTTAAATAATACAGTAATGCAGTCAAAATATCAATATTCTAATAAAGATGTTCGGTTTATAAGAATAGTATTTACTTACTTCATTCCAACATCTGAAAGATTTGTGTTTAATACTGCTCCAAATGAATCATCTGCCAACTGCGTGTAGTGGTGAGTAAGATTTGCAGATAAAGTAGGCAAAGCAGCAGGCTCAGCAACAGCTTTTGAACTCTACAAATGTACATAAACAATCATACATTTTGAATTAAAAATACAAATAATTATTCATGACAATAATAAATTACCATCTCATTAGCAATTCTGGCAATTTCTTTAGCTTCATGTACCATTCTTGTTTGATAATCAACAAAAGTGTCTGATGAAGAAGTAACAAGCAAAGATGATCTTCTATCACTTACTCGAGACATGGCTCGGTTAATACTTTCTAGCAAGCCATTTACCAAACCTGCAATATATTAAAATTCAGAGTTGTCAAATATATTTAGTTGAAGAAATATAATAGTAACAGTATACAAAATGCAAAATGTTTACCATTTTGTGTTGATAAATCATCAAGAGAAGTTATTAATTCAGTAATTGACTCTCTCATTGAATCAATAGCTTCATCCAGTTCTCCGTGATATTGTGTAGCCTGTAAAACAATACATTTTCAATTATAAAATAAATAACATAATTAAATTTAAAGGTGTTCAAAATTATTACTCGTATGAATTTCATAATTATAATTTTAAGATTATTCTATTAAGATAAATTATTATATTTTTATAAACAATAGTTCAATTATTTTACAATGTTTGCTACAAAACTTATTACTACTAATTTTATAATTTATATAATAATTACCCTGGGATTTCCTCCAGTCAGTTTAGCAAGATTAGCTACTTGAATAGCATTTTCGGTAACACTTTTAGTATATTCCAAAAGCTGTAATCTTTGAGACGAATGCACAAAATGAGTTGCAGCACCCACAGCATACTTGACAAGAGCTTCGACATAACGAGACATTTGTAATATTGTATGACCCAATTTTCAGCTTCACTTTTAGCGGCTGTTTGTAGTGGAGGTAATCTGTCTGTTAGCTCATTGGATGTACTGCTCATCTGGCTCAGGAAACCTAAATATAAAATAACAATGTAAATTTGTTGAAAGAGCTTAAATGGAGAATATTTATATATGTTTTTATATTATACCATACCTTGTAAGGTGTTTCTTGGCTCGGAGTTACTGTTGATACAACATTAATACTGGTTTGATCTAAATGACGCACACAGTCATTCAATTGCTGGATGACTGTGTCGCACTGTGTTTGACCAGGTGCCTTCTCTCTGGAAGTATAAATTGATAATTGTATAATATATTGATAATATTTAATCCTCAAAGTTAGAATGGTAATATCTTGATTATTTTTTTGATGTTGAAACATGTTTGAAATAATTTGCAGCCTATTTGTCAATTTGTCAATTTAAAATAAGATTAAAAGACAAACATTCTTTATTTAATTAACTAATATTAATCAGAAACTTTCTGACAAAAATACCTTTCATAAAACAAGAAAAATTGCTTAAACAAAAATTTCTTTATATTTATTAAGGGAAGAAACATTTGAATTGACAAAATAGTTGTTGAAAGGTGAAAAAAAATTAATTAATATTAATTAATATTATTTTGTAAGCACTTCATTATTAATGATGTTGTTAACTAAATGTGAAGGGTTACTATTGTTATTAAGAACAGAACAAATAAAGTTAAGATTTTACTCCAAAACATCTTATTTTAATAAAATAGGCCTACCTATTAGAGAAATAATACCCCAAATTTTAATGGACCAAGAGTAAAAAAAAATAATTAAATATCACCCTGACTAAATTGTTGTTCCTATTAACCTTTTTTTAATTGGACAAATAAGCACAAAATTATTTAAAAAAATGATAATAATAGTAATTACAGAAGCATTAACTAACCTTATATTAGTGATAAGACTCTTGATTGAATCACTAACATCTTTGCTGTTACTTGCTAATTGTTGCCATGCAGGTGGGTCTCTTGGATTAAGGGACAAAGATTTTGCAGCTACTATCATATTCACAGAAGCATTCAAAGTACTATGACCACTAGTTAGAATGGGCTCTTGAGCTTTGCGACCCTGAAAGCAAATTGAAATTAATAGATTGAATTTATTTCTAAATTGCATTCTAATTTTTCTTTTTTATATTCACCTGGGCTGATATTCTTGTTGGTATAGATACGAATTGTGGATTATTTGAGAATTCACAAAGCGATGAAACAGCATCTAATAAAGGTTTCGTTGCCTGAACACAAGATTCTCTACTTTCAGCAGAATAATCTGCATCTAGTGCTTTAATTCCCTGTTAAAATATCCATGATCAGCAAATTAAGATTACATTGTATATGTGTTTTCTTGCATGTATATAATCAACTAAATAAAATTAAATAAGTTAGTAGTAGTAATTGACAAGGAAAAAGATAACTACATAGGTACGAATCAACAAAGTATAAGCATGCTCATATAGAAAGAAAAACTGTAATTTTAGTTTATATAAATTTCATTCAATTCATAATTCGAGCATAGCAAAAACTGACTTTTTGCCAGTTAGATAAATAAATTAAACAGTTTAGGTGTGTTACGA